GAAACTTCTTGGTCCCCTACCAACTAACTATGACACATTGTTACGCGAAGCGGAACGCATATATAATATAACCAGAACAAGTTCTCTTCCAGAAGAGGATTTGTTGATAGCAAAAATCGATAGAGCTATTGATACAATAGTTTCTAATAGGACTCCTTCAAATAATTCAATTCGATATAGTCGTAAACCAAATCGTAATTTCAATCCTAATTTTGAACCTAGGCAATATAATAATTTTCGCAATAATAATAATCAAAACAATTCACGTTTTCGAAGTCCATCGCGCAATAGTAGACCCCCATCGCGCAATAATGTTAGGTTTGCTCCTGCCGCACAAACAATTATAATAGAAATCAATCACCTCAATTCCGCAGACCGCAAAACCGATCTGGAAACCCTACTTATAATAATAATAATCAAGGACGTCCATATAATCGTCAAAATTCTCCATTTCGCCGTAACACTTCTCCATATTACCGCAATAATTCTCCATTTCGCCGCCAACAATCTCCATTTCGCCAACAACCAAATTCCTCGCGCCATTTCCCAGTTAACTCAATAACTACAAGTAATCCAAAAACCATTTCTAAAACCAATGACATCTTTATTTGTCGTCGCTATTATAAGCATAATGATCGCTCCTTCCTCTGCATTTTCTCTCAAGTACCAACTCTGTGCAGCAGGAAAATCAGGTTGGCCCATTGCCTTCCCTGATTCTGTAAGCTGCACAAGTCCTCCAAACTCAACTAAAGTCTTAATTACTGGGGCTGATCTTTATGTCGAACGGACTGAACCATGGCTTTTACCAGCTTTTCATTGTTTCAATAAAACTAGGAAAAATCTGCGCATCCTCATACTTACATGTTTCTTTTTCGGTTAACAGCGATGAAGAATTCATGACTCCTATAGATCCTGCTCTTTGTGAATCACTAACACAAACTAGAAAGTATTTAGACATTCCTTTAGGACAACTTTCACCAAACGTATATGGATCAGAAAATCAAATTCATTATTCGTATCCATGGTTTTTTGGAGAAAAATGTACAGTCACTACCAACGTGTATTTTGAAAAAGGAACAATTGCAACTTTTGATGGAAATCATCTGATAGGCCAATTTGGGAACATGGCACATTGCAACATTACAAAAAACCAATGTAACCTTACTCATGGCACTGTTATTTGGGCACCATCACCTTCAACGCCAATATGTCGTTATGTAAAAGCAACTGAAGGAGTGGCTTATGTAACGCCTACTCATATTGTATTAAATAACATACAATCAGCTTTTACTTATAAAAATGTAACATTTTCGCATTCGCAACTCAATACATGGTGCCTAAATAATTCTGCTATTGCAATGGACAATGGCGTATTCATTGTTTTACCGGAAATCGAGGATCACAACCCTCGCACCATATTTTCGCAGTATCCTGAGGTGGTAGACAGTATCAATCGTAAACATTTTTACAACTCAAACTTTTGCAACTAGTAACCTCTGTAACTCAGCCAACGCGAAATCAACGCGGGATTACTGATGTTTTGGAGGAAACCAAACCGAAGATTCATCTTGAACAGGATGAATACAAACTCACTTCTGATAAGCCGGAACGGACGAAAGCACAATTTCCCCTCCCCCTACTTTACAGATTAATTCATAATATGCAAAAGCGATCGGTAGATAATCAGAATCTTCACTCAAGCATTCCAGTATCGCGCAGTAAAAGAAGCAATCATAAGTCTTTGAACGCGCTGTTAAATGGAACAAAAGATTCCACTTTCAGCAAGTTATGGGAGCCCTACGCATGTAACCCTTCAGATATGTCAGGCAAATAGCTCACCATATTGCTTTCAACTCACAACCTATTTCGCAAGCTATGAAACAATGATCTAATCTGGTCACGAACAACGTCAAGATAATCGTCATGCAGAACTGAATCATCATCTTTGTATCATCTTTTACGCGATTTGTCTTCAAACATTCCTCCATGTTTGCAAATCGGAACCTTTCCATCTTTCTCTGTCCTTGTGCTATTCTTGTCCATGGTGACCATGTAACTGTACCATTGAATCGCACCATCTCAGGCAAGATGTAAAGATAACAGATGGACAGTAAGATTAACCGAGTGGTACCCTCGAGGATGCAAACGCCCTGTGGGTCATCCGAAGGTGAGAACTGAATACTAAAATGCAATTCTTAAAAATCAAAATGGGACGAAAAAGTATAATGCAAATTCAAACTTTTTGTTAGATAAAATCTGTTCTCTTATAAATTTCAAAGCCCATTCTATAAAAAGTATCGCCCAAATCAATCCAACTACAGCAGCCCGAATACTTCTCAATCGAGAAGATATATTCGCCATGTCTGCAGGAGACGTATTAATGGTCTCCAAATGCAAAGAAATTGTAGTTGATGAAATAATTTCATCACAACTTAAAAGGAACTTGTTATATTTTTACACCGATTAGATCGGGAAAACAGTTTTACTTTATCCAACCAGGCACTCGTGATTTGGTCAAAGCCAGTCCACGAGCAGATTGTGGACATTTGCCATTTCGGTATTTATAATGGTGGAAACAATCAGTACAAATCATCGTCGGGTTAGCCCAAGTGACCAATATTCATTTAAATTTACCAAATAATTTAGCACAAGAAAACTTCATTTTCAATTCTCCGCCTATATTTCATTCAGACTTGGCTAAAATTTCAACCGATTTATATCTTCATCAAAAATCATCTCAATTCTATCAACAACATGTATGCCGGACCATCGAAATCAACAATGGAAGACAAATCAATGTCGAATCAATTGGGACACGAATTAGCGGACACAGCCGCATTTTTAGAATCCAACGCTGGAGAATTTCTTCAGTCGCAAAAGGAGAAAATCCTGGAATCCTTCGATTTACACAACCTAGTCAGGAAGATAGTCATCGGATCGATTTGTCTCTTCCTCGTCATCGCTCTTGCAATCTTATGTTGTCAGACTGCGTTGTTTCGAATTCCATTGAAGTTTGCTGTTCAAAGCTCTAGGCAACTTATTATCTTTCATTTTCACGTCCACATGTAGGAAACGTAGATCTTCGCCAGGTACAGCGACAAGGGAAGTACGACATCGCCAGGACAACACTGTAGCTGATAACAGACCCATTAATGAATCCATTCAACTTCCTGCATACATCAATCTTCCAGCTCCACCTCTCCCAATGATCAACCTTCCAGCAGCTCCTCTACCATAACCAATTTACAAGCAACCTCCGGACCACATAATCAACATGCCATCCGCTCCAGTTTCCAAATATCATCAACCATCAGCACCTTCCCAATCAATAATTCACGTACCAGCTGCACCACCTGCAACACAAGCCCAAAAACAGCAATTTGCGAATTTCTTCCCAGGCATCTCTTGTATCCACCTTGCAAATACTAGTCAAATGATCTATGTCCCGGCAAAACTTAATATGTCATCAATTGTTGCTCTTCTAGACACTGGATCAGCTCTTACAATCGTCTCTGATACCGTAGCTCGAAAAATAAAGGCCGAAATATCTCCGTCCACGGTTACAAAAGGTATCACAGCGAATGGATCGATCATGAATTTACTGGGTCAATTCACACCAAACCTCACCATAGGACGAAAAACCATGCAAATTACTTGCTACGTCGCTTCTGATGCTAACTGTTCTTCTCCGTTCATTCTTGGCAACGATGTTATTCAACTATTTGCACAAACAATG